AAACCCATGCAGTAGAATAGAGTCAGTTCTTGCATACAAATCCCAACAATATAATCACGTGATGAGGTCTTTGCCACGCGGGATGAAAATGCCAAAAAATGAGAAGACGAAATTGACGAAGGCGTGCATGGAGTACATCAGGGGAGCGTTCGCCAAGCGCGAAACTCCTGATCGGAAGCTCAAGATCGCCATATGTGTGGTCGTCTCCATCGCCAGTGATCTAGCTGAAACAGATGGGTTGACGAAAGCCATCCGCGATCGTTTCCGGGGCTTGGATGACTATGATCATCGCGCGATGTCGGACGTTTTCAACCTCTCGATTTTGAACGACAGGGCCCTGGCCCTTCTTGACAAAGTCATGATTTTGAAGAAGGAAAATGTCCGGAGAGACATTCAGCACGAGTTCCGTGTGGAATATGTTCTAATTTATTTCGGCATACTGGAAAGCGCTCTGCGCCGCGGAGAGGCATTGGACGACCTGGGGTACGTGACACACGCAACACCGTCGGACATGAAGAAAGCTCGTGAAACTTTGGAAAAGCACGTGTCGTTGATCGCCACGAGGTGTGGCCCGTGCTTCCATCTCGAAGCTGCCAAGAACGCGCGCCCGAGAATCAATCTGTTCCCGGTAAACGGCACCCTTTCACAGGCGACAATAGGGTGCGAGCACGCCGACTTCGACCAGGCCACGATCAACACGCTGAAGAATTGTTTCGTCGACGACACGAAGGAAAAGGACGAGTTCCTGGACATCATCTTCGCCATAATTTCTCATGCACACAGGCAGCCCCTCGAGACCTATGCGGGGATCAAGACGGAGACGGTTGCGATCTGCTTCATGAAGACGATACTCGAAGAGACGGAAGCTGATGATGTGATGAATGTCATCAAACAGACGATGCGCATAAAGGTAGGAAAAGAGGGGTGTGGCGACGAAGTGGCTTCCCTGAAGGAAAAGCTTGCAGCCGCCAACGAAATGTGCGAAGATCAGAAGAAGCAGCTCGCCAAGGCCAAGAAAGAGATGACGCGTATCAAGGAAGAGCGCGACGATGGAAAAGAGCGAGGCGGTGACGAAGCGGCTTCCCTGAGGAAAGAGATTGCCGCCACCAACGAAAAGTGCGAAGATCTGAAGAAGCAGGTCGCCAGGGCCACGAAAGAGACGATGCGCATCAAGAGAGCACGTGACGATGGGAAAGAGCGGGGCGGAGACAAAGTGGCTTCCCTGCAGAAAGAGCTTGCAGCCGCCAACGAAAAGTACGAAGATCAGAGGGAGCACACGTTGCGTCTCAGCACTCAATGCATCGACCTCAAGAATCGGGTGGCTCATGAGGTCGCGGAGGTTGAGGTATGGAAATCCATTTCCAAAACGTCAGAAGAAGGCCATCTCCGCAAAGAAGTTTCTGCTTTAAAATACAGGTGGGATGAGTCCAAACGTGATGCGGAGAACCTCAGGCGAGTGGACGCCGAGCGTAAGGATCACCTAGATCGTGTCATTGGATTGAACGAGAGTCTGGAGAAGAAAGCTGCCGATAAAGAACGACAGGCGAAACAGGCTTCGGATTTTCTCAGAACTCAGCGAGGGTGGTACAAGAATACTTCGGACGAGAAGGAAAAGCGAATCAAGGATCTACAACAAGAGCTGAACGAAAAGAACCAAGGCGTGAAGAGGGATTTGAACGAACCCGAGAAGGAGTGCGATGCCCAAAGCAAAGCGAAGAAGAAGACGAAGTGGAGCGAATTGACGGACAGGGAATAAGTTGAACGCGGTTATGAACTGGGCGGGCGAATAGTGTAACACTGATGACGACGGCGCGATCGAGCGAAACGGGAAGATCAGTCATCGAATTCTGCATTAGAATGTCCTTGTGCTCCAGATAGCATTGCACACGCCCAATTCTTGGCCGATGTAGAAGTCTTTGTTTCTTGTGAGATCGTCCAACACGTGCAGAGGTTGCTTGATTTCGTGGCGGCGACGGCGACGGAACAGTCGAGCGACTTGAGGAACGCGCCGATGTCATGGTGTCGACCTGTGCTATGCCAGCCACTCGGCGATATTGAAAGTGTTTTCCCTCTTCGATACTGGCAGCGTAATGTATCTGATAAACTTGGCGGCGACTAGAGCTTCAGATAGCTGTGCCAGTGGTCTTTCAGTTTTTCATAGTTTTCTCATTTTACCTCCAAGATTCGACGGATTCATTCAGAGCAACAGCGATGGACGAGAAAAGGCATATTCCCGATACCAATCCATTCACTCAAATCGCTGGGACCGCAACGCAGAGTCGACATCTGATCCTGTCAGGCCGACCGACATCGCTAGAGCGCAGAGAATGCACGCTTCCCTAATGTACATTTGGTTGAGACCATAGTCATGAAAACTTCCGCTGCTTGATCACGCAGACATCGTCCCCCCTTGCGGCCTGTACAAACGCGTAGTCATCATGAAGCCGGAGCTCGCGCAGCCACTCTACAGGCTTACGATCCTCAGCGACTGCAAACGATCTACTGTCAGAGAATCTGTCTCCACTCTCCACCAGAAAAAACATCATGTCAAGATTCCCCGACAGCGCCGCCGCGCGATGAGCGTTCTCCGGCAACCAAGAGAGATCGGTGGTTATGAGCCGGTCAAGGAAAATGTAGCTGGTGACTTCGGCCGCGCGCTGCACGTAGAAATGATTACACTCGACGCCACACGACAACTAAAGGGGAATAATTTGGATTCCGTTCCAACAAATCAAGTTTAGACCACTGGCCTTGGTCATCGGGGGTAGCGTGTCAAACAGACTGGCCGAGTGTCTTTGTCACTTTCTCGGACGCGCGGAAGTGACGCCTGAAATCGCGACACACGGGTCCGATGATTGCTTACGAATCCGTCTCGACGTCATTGAGGATGGATTTGGCAACTCTTTTTCTTCCACGTTGCCCATCGACGGGTGAAACACGATTTCAGAGGCACCTGAGAATATTGTGCGCCCAAAAGTGTGGTTTTATTTTGTTTGCACAGGGTATCGTGCGGCATCAATGCAGGGAGAAGTGGATAACTTTTCTCCTTCTACCGTGAATGTGACAGGTGTCCACGACCGGCAGCTAATCGCAGGGATGGACACAGCCGAGCATGCCACCGCAGAGAGTTCTCATTCCGACGAAGACGTTTTGTCGACACTTGAAGCAGATGAAACCTCTGAGAACGATTCTGAGTCCCCGAAGATCCTCTCATGGGACGAATAAAAAACACTCTGTGATTCATTCAAGGGGGTCCGAAGGAGAGAGTTGGCACTGCGGTTTCCAAACCCGGCATCTCTGGAGAACGTCAAGCCCACAGAAACATTCAAGCGTATTGAACGTTTGGCCATGACACCTAGTTCGCACCTCGAGTATGGGGTCGTCGTCGAGGAGGTTGTGGGTTGCGAGGGCAACACCATCGCGGAAGTTCGCATGGCTCTAAAGATACAGGCGAAGAATGCCGGGATCGTAGGAAACTTCCTGTGGAAGCTAAACAGGCATGTTTTCCCGCGTTACGACTTTGAAATCCAGTTGGATTTGTCTGATAAATCGGTGTACTTGGCCAAGGCCAGGGAACTAGTTGCACCCCTCGAGGCAAGGAAAATGGACATGGAGCCGTTCGTATTCGGGGAAACCTTATACGATCTTCTTATGCGAATGGAGAATGCGGCGAAGGGGGCGATGAGATCTACGGAAATCGACTCCAACTGGCCGAGATACCCGTTGAAGCTTCTACAAGCAGTCATGAATTCCGGGGGCCAGTGGATTTTTTTGATCGATAGCGACGTTTTCAAGAAAATCGGGGAAAAGTACCCGTTCCATTGTCGATACGCTTTTGACGTCCTTTCTAAGATTGTTTCTACGGCCGAATCAACACTTGAGTCTCTCGGAGAAGAATCCAGCGTTGAAGATGATGCACAGCGCAGGATGCGAAACAAGTAAAGGACCAAATACAATCGTTGTGGGATATAGCGTACGGACTGGGGCTTGAAAGAAAAAGGGAAAGGGACGGTGAGATGCAACGTCTGATCCGGGGAAGTGCTTAATCTGGTTTCGGATGCGCGAAAGTGACACTCGGGTCTGATCGTCGCGTACGAATCCGTGTTGACGTTTTCCAGGGTGAACTTGACGACGTCCGCGTGCAGGTGGAGGATGTTTGAGCATTGTGCAGAAGTTTTGAAAGTTGTGCAGGGGGCAGGGAAGATCCACAGTTTCCAAGAGCGCCGACGTGGTGGCCAGCTGCTCGTGGAATCAAGTCATGGTGTGTCGGGCAAATGCAACACACCATTTTTACATGCGCGTACTTATGTGACCAACTCCTACCGTTGTTGTACTGCAGAATCTTCATTTACTCGAAACGTACGCGTGTGTCCTTGCACGCGCCCTCGACGCCTCGACCGGAGGAAACGACTGCGCGCTGTTTCTCGTCACCAAGTCAATGGACTGGCCGACCCAGCGCTCACAGAAGATCCCCAGTTTCCCACGAGGCCGACGTGGTGGCCAGCTGCTTGTGGAATCAAGTCTTGGCGTGTCGGGCAGACGCAACACACAACTTTCACAAGCGCACTTGCATACTTCCATGACCACCTTCGTTGTGAAGTACAAAGGNTCGACGCCTCGACCGGAGGAAACGACTGCGCGCTGTTTCTCGTCACCAAGTCAATGGACTGGCCGACCCAGCGCTAACAGAAGATCCCCAGTTTCCCACTAGGCCCACGTGGTGGTCAGCTGCTTGTGGAATCAAGTCTTGGCGTGTCGGGCAGACGCAACACACAACTTTCACAAGCGCACATACATACTTCCATGACCACCTTCGTACTCTACCTCTTACTGCGGTATCTACTCAAAAGTACGCGTTAGTGCTTGCACGCGCCCTCGACGCCTCGACCGGAGGAAACGACTGCGCGCTGTTTCTCGTCACCAAGTCAATGGACTAGCCGACCCAGCGCTCACAGAAGATCCCCAGTTTCCCACGAGGCCGACGGGGTGGCCAGCGGCTTGTGGAATCAAGTCTTGGCGTGTCGGGCAGACGCAACACACAACTTTCACAAGCGCACATACATACTTCCATGACCACCTTCGTTGTGAAGTACAAAGGTTGAACCAAGGGGTGTACCTCTTTCTCTCCGGCCCGTGATGGTGACTCCTAGTCTCACTTGTTACCTCGCATAGCACGCAGAGGGAGTGGAGGACTCCAGAATATCTGTCGTTGATTTCTTTTGACTTGCGGACCAGTTTATTTGAGTGTACCTTTTTAGGGCAAGTTAACCTGTGGCCACGGGAATCGACCGCGTCGAGTGTTGGAGTAGTACGGACATACGAAGGTGCCGGGTAGAGAGAGATCGGAACGGTTTTGAATGTGAAGACAACAACAACAACAACAACAACAACAACAACAACAACAACAACAACAACAATGCATGCGTGGACGAACTGTAGGTTGTTGACTCAAGGTAGTTGGGCATGTTTTTTGCTTCTTATACAGTTTACACCTTGGGTAGAGGTGTATATGCCTTTCGCTTGCACGGTTGTATGCCGTGCTTGGATAGAGATGTTGTCTCCTCCTTGTTGTCGTTGTCAACTCGCAAAAACAAGTAGGTAGCTGACATGTAAATATATGCCAAATGCAAATGATTATATTCTGACTTTGTTGCCTTTGCCAGGAACCATTTTATTTATTCGATTTCCTCAATATTTCGATGCAGTCATAATCTGTTCTACAGGGCCTCTGGGTTTCTGGGTTTGGGTGTAGCGCGTCCATGTGACCCGTGGATTGATTTGAATGTTGTGACACGCGCCTTCCATACCCATACTCTCACCCGCTATTTTAACACTTGGAACATCATGAAGCAATAGACAGAGAAGTCGAGTGCAAACATCCTGAAGGCCGGTTCCTTCCGTACAACAACCAACATTGTCCACAAGGTTGGCCGGGGATACCTCAACCAGGCCTTAACGAGCGGAGGGTCTAGCAGACCGGTCTTCATCGAATCTATGGAAAAGTATTGGTGATTTCGGAAGGGGCGTCATGCCTGTGCAGCTCACAACACAAGCAAGCTTCGTGTTGGTGACGACGGCAAGAAATCTGCCCGTCATCAAAAACTGCGCCGACGGCCATAACAACGGCCACCGAATGATGATCCACCCGGATGACACAAGTGATGTTTCGCGTCTCGCACAATCTAAGATCGATCTATCGTCGTGTGCATACCAGAGCGTGTGAGAGGCAACATAATGCACCCCCAAGACAACTTCCTTGAGGAGATTCACATCGTTAACCGATACCATCAGTGCGAACGGTTTCAAGAACGACCACGATGAGTACGACCCGTTCGAGGACACACTACACACAGCCAGTATTTTTGTAGTCGATCGGGGGATGAATGTGTTGAACGCCTCTCTTTGCAGTGAGTTTGATTTGTTTTCTTGGGGGGATCTGAGATGTAAGGGGTACTACTCGTTTGCAACACCGGGGTCTCACAACCGCCGTGGCGGGGAACATCATGCCTTCCAAACCCGTGGTCTACGACACCAACGCGCAACAAGATTTCGGGATGCGTATGGGCGGCGTGATGACACACAGCCATTGTCACCACCGCCACGTTGCATCCACAAGCAACAAGATTGTTTCGACACATCATTCTGATTAAAAAAATCTCAATACTACCTAAGCAGCAGAGGGCAGCTCAACACGTTCGGAGCGCGCCGATTCACTCCATCTCCCATGTTCATTCCCAACCCGACGCATCCCATGCCTCATTATTGACCTCACGTTTACATCCGTCGAGCGAGTATTACATGCAGCAACCGTGCTGCTAGAGAGGGTGTGTATCACTTTCGCTGAGGCTTCTAAAACCCGTTAATCCACCCCTTTGTACAGACATGCAACGCAGTCTCGCCTCCCGACGGGAGCCCTGCTCCACACGAGAAAAATGTGAAAGCGTGTCCGGCCCAAAACCCTCACTGATCCCAGCCCCTTATCGCACATATCGAAGATTTCGTCCATCAGCTCAACCGCGTATGCGGACAACTGGCGAGCAAACGAGTCTCATCCCCCTCATGCAGTCGTCCGTTTCATACGCAACACACGCAACAATAATGTATTAGGTTGCGGGTTCGAAACGCTGCGCCACATAATTCCTCCTCTCGTCAGCACAAGGCATCACCAACCACCTCCTGCACAAGCCGCCGCGTTGATCTCCATCAATCACACTACGCACCCTATCAAATCTTCACCCCTGGCATCCATGTGCACAAAAACCATCAACACGGACACGCTCTTCCTCCATAAACCATCATTTGATCTTCGCGTACACATGATACGGACTTGAAAGTGAAAAGCACCGCTGCAACAAGTGCTGCCCTCAAACACAAACGAAACAAACAAGAAACAGAGTGGGTGCTGCGGCTGAAAGAGCCAAAACTTTCCATAGTCAGTCGGTACCTCTCAAGAAAAATACCAAGCGTGTCTGCTCTACCTCACGCTCAGATGAAACGCCAAAAATCTCCTCTAACTCCTCCCGGGGGTGAACAAATCTCATGGACAGGGGGTGGCTACACATCCGTTCCGTGAACAATATTCTCGTTCCAATGCACTGCTGTGGCTTTCACGTGAAAACCAAGCACCTTGAGGCGCATCTTATGCATACAATATGGTAAAAGCGACAACCAGGCAGCCAGCCTGCCAAACTTGCGAGACTGTTGGTGATCACTGCCGTGTATTCACTCTTCTCACGCGCTTGCTATGTGCATGTACGGAGACATATCCACCAGCACGGAGTTGTGGCCAAGTGCTCGTGATACTTGGGCCTGTTGCCGTACCAAGCCAATACCGTGTTGGCCAAATCAATGCAGCAATTCACAAGTTAAGACGGGCTTGTTACATGAAAAAAAAAGTGGGGGATAACGTCTCTTGACTGCCATTGTCCTCGAATTACTACAACCCCCCCGCCCCGCCACGAAAATTACCAAGCGTATTGTCAGGTGTGTGCTATATCCAAAAATCCAGCAACGCTATCCATGTAGAAACCAAAGTGCACAAACATGAGCTGATAACATCAACATGCGCACAAGGTAAGCGCTGCCGAAATCATCATTCTAAGACCATCCGTCACTGAAGTCCCACAGCCAGCGACATCTCGTCCAAGTCTCCGAAAGACCGCGCGTGGCAGCCTGGACCCGGCTTCCGCTGCTGCTGGTGCTGCTGGTGCAGCTCTGGGGGGGAGGCGGGGATGGTTGAAGTCGACGACACGCGAGAGAACCAGGACTCTTCTGACTCTTGCTTCTCCCACCAGGAGTCCTTAACGGCGAGGTTGCTGCTGCTGCTGCTGCCCAGGTTGTTCATGCTCCTGGTTTTGCTCTTTTTGAGGGCCATCTTCTTCTCCTTGGACCGGTTGATCTCCGCCTGAACACGAGAGGAGTGGGTTCGGGCCAAAAGGGGGTGTAAAGTGCGGCGGTTAAAACGCATGCCGATTTTCCAGACGCACGGGGGTTGATGTAGCGTAGAGAGTGGAGACAGAGAGAGAGCGAGGGAGGCGCGAGACGGTTTGCTCCTGCTCCACAAGTGTTTCTCCGCTTGAAACCTTCAGGCGCAGCGTTTCTCGAGAAAAAACAACCATGTTTCACCAGACCAGAAAACTGGACGGTAGAAAATGTCGGAGTTAAATTTAAACTTGCGCCAGACGACGAGCGCGATTATCAGACTCTCTCGATCTGTATGCATACGCGCGCGGCTATCCAGACGCGAACTAACACCACGGACGAAGACGCGACTCCATAGCGAGTGGTGCACACACAGGGTACGCTCGTGCTACCTTACGTGCGGATGTTTAACGAGACAACCTAGAGAAAGCGGCGCACACTCGTTCACTTCACGGTAGGCTACATCTACAGCACTCCTATTACCGTAAGAGTCGGAGAGATGGCATCCCCGTTTTAGCGCTTTTTTGTAGCGTAATTCTCCACAAGTAGAAGGGTGCGAACACCCACCGATACCTCTCGGGCAAGCACTCGACGCGATGTGTCCAAAACTACCCTTTACGGCAGTGGTGCCCCCCAAGTTGTGGAGAAATACGCAATACAAAAACGCTAACACCTGTGTGTGAGTGTTCGTCCTGTCTATTCTGGTGCCGGTTTACAGGCCCCTCGGCGTATACTGTATGCCTGACGTATGAGCCGGGCTCACACAAGAGGAAGGTTTGTCAGTTGTTTTATTTTTTGCCTCTGCTTCACCCCCTCCGATGATCGCCCTAGTTTTATCGCGAGGAGGGTATAGCCATCCCTTTCCTTCGTCGACCGTGGAGCCGAACGTTGTTTACTCACGACCTAGGTCGCTTTCGGCACACTGTTGATGCAAAAAAAATGTACATCCTGCATGCATATTTGAAACCAAAGTATCTTCAAGACCGCGCAGGCGCGAGCGTCACACGTCACACGGGAGCATTGAAGCTAAAAAAAATGGTTGCACATGAGGTAGCAGCACAGCGCACAGCACACCAACAGTCACGATGACGTCATGGTGGTATGGAGAGCGGTATCGATTGCCACCATCCGCTTGCAGACAAGAGCGAAAGGCACTCCTTACTCCTCCTCCTCATCTCACCTTCAACGCCTTCGAAAACGAGTGCCCGCTCAGGTCCAACGCGGTCCTCGGCTGCCAGCCTCCGGCAACGCCACTCCGGCCTACTGGTGGTGCTTCCCCGTCGCCCTCGTCGCCGCTCCCGGCGGACGCATCGGCGGGCGACGACGACGGTTTCAAGAGGGCTCGCAGGACTCCCGCGAAGGTTTTGCCTGAGGCCGCCCGTTCGTTTTCGTGGCTTCTGCTGCTGCTGCCGGTGTGGCTGGGCTTGTTTCCTTTTCGTCGAGGAATGTCGGCGCGGTCGATGCTGTTGCTGGCGTGCTGCAACTCGTGGTCGGCTTCCCGAGGGGCACTGCTGCACAGGATGCTCTTATGACACAGCGTAGGGTATGGAATGGGGGGGGGGGAGACGCAGTGGGGCTGGTGAGACGATCACGGCGACGAGATAAAGAGGAACGGGAGTATTGTAAGCATGGCCGGAAGCACACACGGCGCCGGCCAGGGGTATTTTACTCGTCTCATGAGATGAGGGGCGGGTGATGCCAAAATGCCAAGATTCAGACGCCAGCCGAAAATGCACGAACAAAAAGACACCACCGTGTGCGTTCTTGCCAGCTAAACCGCGGATCCAATGGTCAGGTGCAACGCATTCCGCAAGTACGCCTAACGCACGGGCGAGCAGGTCGCGCGTGTCATGTTGTCATGAGCAGAATCGATTACAGCTGAGAGCAGCGCGGCGTGGCGGAAATTGACGGGAAGCCTTGAAGTTTAGTTCAGCCCTTCGATAGCAAGTTTCACTTGGGAACGAACGACCATCAACAACGAACACCTCACAAAACGGCACTCGGCCTCCCCTGTAAACTGCTGCTGCTACATACGACCTCCACCCGTAGGTTCAGGCACAGGCCTTGCAACTCTCCCGATGTAGATTCGCGCGTGGCATAAGCAACAACAGACAGAGAAGCCAACGGAAGGGAGCAATAGGGCGACGTGGGTTTCAAACGACCGAATTGTCGGCAAAAAATGGGCCGCTCTCTAGTCAACGAATCGTGTCCACAACACGGCCGCGCCATGCAGAGCATTGCGCCTCTCTCAATAACAAGTCCTTCACTAGCTGTTTCATGCCCCTTTCACCGCACGGCTCGAGTGCAATGGCGTAGGGAATGAAGTGGCAACCCCGGCGCATTCTTGATGATCTCAACCAAAAAACACGAATTTAAAAAGCCGGATACACGTCGCCCTTTTGTGCCCAACCTCTCTCTCCCTCTCTCTTACCTGTGTCACGATCACCCCGTACGGCATACTTGCGACGCTGGCTACTGTTGGCTCCAGGGGCTTCAATAATACCACAGAGGAGTGGTGCAAGCGATGCGCGTCGACAAAGGGAAGGGGTTTTGAGGGCGAGGCCTACTTGTGCATGTACCAGTGCCAAGAAAGGTGTGCCTGTGAAATCGAACAGCTGTTTATTGGGATGACAGGGATTCTGTCGGTACTGCTGTCGGTCGATTTGACAGTCTCATACCGGAGATTTTGGAGATTGCTATATTTAGAAAAAAAAAAGAAAATGATTGTCTTGACAAAGTTGAAATAAAAAAAATGTCTGCTCCAAGGTTATGGTCGGAGAACGTGCCAATTTGTGCTACTCCATTTGGGTCCATGCAGGGAGAGTGGGTGGTACATGGGGTGGGGCCTGGTGTACGCGGTAGCGAAGTTTAAGGTTTTGGGTATTCCGCGCGGTGCGCAAGGACGCGGATGTGCGCGATTGTTGACGTCCGTTGAATAGCACCAAAAGGACTATTCTATTGAAACGAACAGGCGGCGGATACATTATTTGTACGTCTGCCTGTCTGCCCATCTGCCGCCTCTTTGTCCTGTTTTTTCCTTTACTCCCATGCCCTGGTGCGTAGTGCCTGGTGCTGGTACGTTACCCTTTGATTTTTTCTTTGGGCGGGTGTGGGAAGCGTCCTCCTTTATTTTTTTGTTTTTTTTTTATCGGTTTCCGAGGGCGCTTTTCTCGAACGGTCGGTGCGATACCTGTTCTTTTCTTTCCATAATTTTGTTTTATTTTTCGGAGTGGTTTGTACAAGTACCCTATTTTTGTTTTGTTTCCCCGCGGGGTCGTATGTGCCGGGTTTTGAGACCAGGGGCTCCCCATTTTTTGTGGACTATATCTAGAGCTAATGTGAGAAACAACAACAAACAACATATACGCTGCTGGGAGCGATGGCGGGGGGTACCGGATACCGGGGCGGGCAGGAGAGCGACTGGGTGTATCGCCTAGGAGAGGACCTCGTGGCGTTTGGCATGAAAGAGGAGAAGGAG